GGATTTTGGGAGGGGGACTCACCTTCTCTCCCGCTATCCGAGGCCAGAAGCACGGGCCGCTGACGAGGCCCTGTCGTGGGCCTCCTTCTTTGGCGGCCCCCTCCTGGGCTGGCAGGCTGCATAGCCGTAGCCAGCAGGCGGTCAAACCCTGGCCAGTCTCTCCCGATCAGCACGGGGACGGGAAGATCCTTCACGACCCCGACTTCCACCGGCCAGGCGCCGGGAGCGGCCGAAATGGTCACCCTGTGAGCGGGATTTTGTCGTGTATCCCCGTGGACACAGGTTATGGGGAGGAAGGCTTTATATTCCGTTCGGGGGGAGATAATCTGCGACTGGACCAGAGTGACCGCACTGCCCGAGTCCAGGATGGCCCGGAATGGCTTTCCTTTCACTTTCACTTCCACCTCTGGAGCTCCAACTGGCAGGTCGGGGTGCACAATGCAGCCGGCCAGCCAGGTCCGTGCGGGACTTCCATTGGCATGGGCTCATCCCGCGGAGAGGGAGCCGCCGGCCTGCCTACTGGTCGCGGGGTGCGCTCCGGCGCGCACCGCTTCTGGACCACCCTCCGGGGAAATGGCGGCGCTCGCTCCCCAGCATCCCGGTGTTGGGCCGCATCCGCCAGCTTGACAGCCTCCACCAGCTCGGAGGTGGTGGTTGGGTTCCTCATCCCCACTGCCTGTCAGTGGGATCGGGGAAGGGCTCAGAGGATACGGTCAATCACCACGCGCTCCGCCACCTGTCCAGCCGATGGAGCCCCCTCCAGCAGCCAGTGCTGCGTGAGTCGTGTGAGTTCGGCGGCCTGGGTACGGGCCGGCAGACGGGGCTTATACTCCCACTCGTGGAAGTGCTGGACGGCACAGATAGGGGATAACCCCAGGCGGGCTAGGATTTCCTTCTTGACCTCCTTATATTGATCGGCGGAGGCGGCGGGAAGAGCGAAGTATGCATACTGCGCTTCGCCCGTCAGCAGGGGAGCCAGCACCCATGCCCAGTCATCCTGATGCCACCCTTCCAAGGTGGCCGTCGATTCGAACATTTGTAAGAAGGCTTCTACGTCATCATGAGGGGTCAGCTTGTGTAGCAGCTTCACGGCTTGCACTCGGGGGTCCGGCAGCGGAACGCGGTGAGCGGCGGCGGCACGGAGTGCTGCGAGTCCCTGCTCCATCTCTCGTTGACGGGTGGCAAGGTGCTCAACAATTTGTTGCTGGCGGATGCTAACCTCGGTGAGCCGCTGGAGGATTTCGTCCATGGTGGGGGAGGAGCGCTCGCCTGTGACAGAAACCGGAGACAAAACAAGGAAAAAAGGTGAGGTGAAGAAGATCGCTTGTCGGTGATTCTTCACTGATTTACCCGCATTCTCCACCAGTGTAATGGGGTGAAGAATCACACGACAAGTAATCTCAATCAATACCCCGGAGGGTGGATTTATTGGGGTGATGGGTGTTCGTGAGAAAGGTCCAGGTAGGTGCTCCGGTGCCGTGAGTGCTCTCTTCCGTCTTCCCAGTGCAGAGGGTCCGTGCAGTGCTCCTGTGGGGCTGGTCGGGCACACGCTGCTTTCTGTGGGGAAAATGAGAGGGTGAGTTAGTGCTCAGTCTCATGGAGGAATATCCTAGATGGCAGGGCTTGCGTGGCTTATGTAGCCGCTGCCTGATAAGGTGCAGCAGTGACCGATCAGCCTGTGATGATGATGGCCAGGTGCTCCTCGCTTGTTTCCAGGGCGACGCTGATGAAGCTTCGGGACGCTCGTCACAATATATATATATATTTATGAACCTGAAACTAACAGGTGACCACTTTATATTGCTATTTGTTTGTTAGTTTTTCTAAAGTATATTTATATAGAAAAAAGTCAGTTTCCTTTCTGAAAATCTAGACTGTCTTACTGTGTGTTCACAATGGTGAAAACACTGTTTGGCTAAGGTTTACAAGGTAGGAAAGATATATTTTCTAACACTAACAAGACTGCAATTCTTTAACACACTATATGCAATAAACACCCACCAGCTGCTCTGAACAACAGACACAAGTTTGACCACCACTAAAGTCTGGTCTTGTTTATCTAGATAATCAGAAGTTCCCAGAAAGGAATATTTCATGGCATCTGAGTTTCATATGTGGATTCTTAATATTCCTAAAATAAAATAATCAGTGTGATTGTTGGTCCATTAATTAAATGCTGTTGTCATTAAGACAATTAGCACACATCTTGTTTTCTATCAGTTGCATTCGGGAATCAACTTAAGGACACTTTTCTGTCACATATTACATGCACACATAAATAACCAATAGAATGTTTACAAGTGTGCAATTTATGACCATTTCGCTGATAAAGAAAAACAGTTGTTTATACTGGTTTGTGACATGCACAATACAAAACTACAAGCAACCAGATTATCATAATCTGTGATGTCTTATCCTATGTATTGTTTTCATTGTTGTTTATTTATTTGTTTTTTAATAATAAACGGCTGACTTCCACACACACAGTTTCAGGCACATGTCTGACTGGTGGGTCTCTGAAAAGACACAATTCACAGAAAGGGCATCCGATAGCACATTCTCTCTCTTCCAGCTTTCTATTCTAGTGTCCTAAAGCAGCGGCTTCACAGGCCTGGCTGTGATCAGCCCACTGCTGAAAGATAGATACCTTCACCTGCCCGTATCTGCCCTGGGCATCATAGCCACATTCCTTAGAGTGGGATTGACATGACACCTCTCCACCAACACAGACTCTTTTAACTGCTAGTAAAAGGAAAGTCTTGACAAGACAGCTTTGGCATGATGATTATTAATGTTACAAGATTTATTTGTGACTGGAGAAAAAGCGTTTGATTGATGCTCACTATTGGCCGATCTTGCTGGCCTGTCAGAAGAGATTTTTTTTTTGCAGATAAAACCGAGTAATGAATCTCTAAGCAGTAGGTGTTGTGTAAGAGGTAAAACTATTTTCAAAAACTGATCCCTTCAGGATGTGTCCTTTTTGGATTATGAGACACACAAATCACAATTTTCACACCTGGAACCAGACATGAGGTTGTAAGAAAGACACTTGAAGTTTAACCTCAGCCTCAGTCCTGGACTCCAATGGAAGCAGAAATGAGAACTAAATGATTTATCACAAAAATGGATTCCAAGGATAAAAATCCATGATATTGTGGCTTCTGTGACCTTAAAACTGAATTACAAATGATATATGTGTATCTTGATTAAGAAACTGTAACAACTGCTTTACACTCTACCTGTTACATTTAAAGTTTAGTTGGGTATCTTAAACTTAAATCTAGAGTAGAAAGGGACAAAAAGGTATTGAGATGGAAATTTAAACTGTCTCTACAAACCTGCCCTAACAGCTCTGATATAATTAGAGGTTCCACTTCAGTTTAACAGATTGGAGCTCTTAGATTAGTCCTCTGGTTTTGTCTTGATAAATCCTTAAAAGAATGTCCAGTCTTCCTGCTTTCCTCTCTCTATTTAAGGGGGGGTTAGGAGATTGTTATCTCAGGCTCAGTTTACTATGTACCCCAGCTTACTCTAACGAGTCTATTCCGATGTGTATAGTCCACTCGTGCCTTTGTGTAAGCCTATAAAGAAAGTATTTGTGTTAAATTGGATAACAAGCAGCTTTTCTGTTGATAATTGAGTGGCCATTCATAAATTTCAATACAGATGTCATTGCACGCCATTGTGTGAACCAGTGTTAATTTTTTTGTTGAAGAATAATTTTCGTCAATGACATTTTTTTCACTGACGACAACGAGATGATAACGAACTAAAACTCTTTTTGAATGACAAAAACTATGACTTAAATCTATTGACATTTTCGTCAACTAATAAAAACAAGATGAACATGTTAGGGAGGGACGATTTGGGAAGAGATTTATTCAGAACGAATCTGCTGCGTGGTTCGGAGGTTAGATGCGTACATATGAACCGGCGGGACATAAGCTAACATACACTTGCTGAACGTCGCATAAAATGTTAAAAAAGGTCAATATGTGGGAGTAAGAGAGGAGCAGACTTATGGATAAATCTGACGACGCAAGAGAGAACGTGTATCAGTACACTGCATCCATTGCAGCTGTGCATTCAGTTTTAAAAGGATAGCAGCCTAATTTAGTTGCTATTGTCATTGATGTTAATCAAGCAACAAAAGAAAGACAGAAAATCATGCACTGCTCTTTACTGAAAAAATGTTGTAGCCCTAAAGATTAATCTAAATTTATTTATAGAAATAAATATGTCTGCTTGAAAGAATGAATAATATGGTAAACAAGTTGCTATAAAGAATGCATAATTAGCCTATACAACCATTGGTATTTCATTAAAAAGAAGACCATGTTCTTGTTCTTTATGAGAAGTGGTTTTATTTAATTTTAACATAAAGGCATGTTGTGTGTCACTGCAGTTAAATCGGTGTCTAGCATGATAAAACCTTAATATCAAACCTATATAATGAGTTTGGAAATTTTAGAGAAATGCTTAATAAATGCACTGTAACTAAACCCAATCGATTTTAGCTGACTAAATTTACTGTGGATTTAGTCGACTAAAATCTTATGATATTTAGTCGACTAAAACTAGACTAAAACTAAAAACAATTCAGATGACTAAAATATGACTAAAACTAAATCAACATTTTCTGTCAAAATTAACACTGGTGTGAACAAGCCTACAGGTTAAACAAAACATGAAGCTTATCAGTTTTCAATGAATGTGAGCATGTCTGTAAATATATTTTTCACATGTTTTTCACAAATAACATCAAGTGCTCTTCTTCTGATGTTTTAGCTTGAGGTAAGTGGTCATGTCAAAGGCTAAATGCATGTAGAAGGTTATGAGCTGGCTTTACAGCTCATGGGAAAAAGTAAAGTCAATTTTATCATTTTGGAGCCTATTTTATTTTATCAGCAAGATAAATGTCCCATGTTGTATGTTGATGTATTGAATAAATGTGAAAAATATTATATAATTAAAAACAATATCAACTCTTTGTTTTACAGATCTCTGAACCAGACTGATGGATTTTTTTAAATTGGAAGCAAAAGCTGAACTAAGTTGTAAACTACGCGAGTCATTGTTAGAACAATGTTGTTTGCATATACAGTACATACAGTACTATGAAAAGTCTAACAGGGCCCAGTGTACTGTGTTGATGATATAATGTAACTTTCTTTATAATTTTTTTCTTGTGTTTTACTCATATTTTGAATTGCATTGTGTTGTTTAAGGGTTAAAGGAAGTATACTGTACATACATAAACTTAACGGAGAAACTTAATGGAGTTAGTACCTTTACAGTTAACATAATATTACCTATTATGTTTGATTTTAATATTGTAACTAATTTAAACCTAATTTATGAAAATCTAATCTAATCTTAAAAGGATCATTTTGTCAATTTTCAACCAGCTTTGCTCCACAGTTCGTTTGGAAGTGCTTGTGTGGTGCACACCAGGGTTCAGATGGCAGCATTCACACTCACTCAAAGGAACCGCACTATCTGACCAATCGCACCAGGGTTCATTTTAATCGAACCAAGCATGGCAAGTGTGAACACACCCTGAAATAACTGAAATCATTTAGCGAAGTGATAATGAACTCTAATAAGGTCAAGACCTGCCTGGAACAAGTTTAGCCAGGCTTTTCCCTGAAAATAATTGAACATTTTAGAACTTTCGTCAACCAATCAGAATCAAGCATTCAACAGTTCCTTAGTATAAATGTAAAATACTTTAAGACAAATTAAAAATCATAAAAAGGGACTTCTATAAAATAATCTTGTATATTCCTAAATAATAATGATAATAAAAATAAAAAAAAAACATAAAAAGATCAACCAGAGACTGATAAGTCTACACTACAGCACACCTATGTAAAACTGTACAGTTCTTGCGGTCAGCTGATGGACACAGGGGTGTGTGATTGGGATAAAGGGAGGAGACAGAGGAAAGGTATCGCAAGAATGCTGACGTGACCGCAGTGCAAGAAAAACGGTGCCACTGGGCAGGCCAGGCAAAAAGCCACCCCTCTCCCAGCTCACCTTCTGTTTGATCCAGTTGGGTAAATTATCCTAGGATCCTCTATTTATACAGTGTGTATATTTACAGCGTTGGATGATTGGGATGCTGCAATGTGCGAAAGCAATGTGAAAACATTGCCGTCCTTTCTGGGAAAGAGTTATTCTGAGGCAGAGAAAGTTTTGGCTGATGCTGGCAAAGCTGATTAACATAACTACCATGACTTTGAGGGCTTGGTCCACTGAACCTGCCCTGAACTAATCCAAGCAAAGTTTGGATGGAATTCATCAGAAACATCCATTTTTATTTCATTAAGCTGTTCCTAACAGTATAATCCTACTCTACTCAGATGTACTCTTTTTCTATATAAACTAATATTATAACAATAACGTATAACACAGAACATCCTGACGTTCCCAGGAACCCAATAATAAAACATGTCATAATAGCCCCAAAGGTTGCCTGCTTTGCTTTACAGTGACAGAATGTATATGTGGTGATTGACTAGCTGGCTGTTGACATACTTGTTGACAATATTTTTACTTTATAGGGGGACATGTAGAGGCACCCTTCCTGAGCCCAACCATGACTGTATTGACATAGTACATAGTAGCATGTTGTCTGTTAGCATGCTTGACTTATACTATAGCTGAAGAGGTGAAGGGTTGAGTGCTGGTAGCGGCATTCGTCTGTAATCTGTGTAACCCGAGACAGTGATGCATGGCCACAACTGCTGTGTACAGCTGGATACAGCCATATGTTAACATGGCTAAATGTCAGATTTAAGGCTGGGAGATGTTCAACTAAGTTAACAAATACTGGACCTGCGAATAGTACTGTCAATAATGATTAATATGACTTTGTTTCTAAACTAATTATGTTTTTATGTAGTCTACTGGCTGTATACATATAGCTCACTTTTTTCTATGGAGCTGTGGTCTTTCTAAACATTTTTGGTAAATTACTTTTCAGAAAGCGTTAGATCAGCCCTAGATCAGTAAAATTATTATTATTATTATTATTATTATTTTATTTTTATTTGTTTATTTTAATGTCAGAAAACTGACTGGTAGGATCAGAACAATTTTACATACATGTAACTTAATCTGACAAACTGTAAATTTATAGCACTGTGCTGGCTGATTTCCACCAGTCAATCAGTACTATATTAACTGTCCACTTTAGGTGCTTGAATGTGCATCGTTTATAAGTGCACCAAAAGTTATTTTAGCAAAGTAACAAAATAGAAACAGACTCATCAAGCACCCCTGGCATGCAGGGTATTCGGCGAATGCTAACAGGGGTTTTTCACAAGCGTTGCTAAGAGTTGTATAGTGTTGTCCCAAACATGTATCCGAATAAACAGAGTGCCTTTTATTTTGGTTCATGTTATTAAAGGCATCAAACAATTCATTAGTGCAACGCTAGTTCCACAATTTGCATTGCTAAATCCTGTGTATATTTACTTGCCATAAAGATTTACGACCTTTGCCTTCTCCAAAGGATTTCTGGTTCACAATGTGCTGAAAGGTCTGGATCACAGTAAATTTCAACTCATAAATTCAAGCTTTGGTGGAAAACTTCTATCCATCTGAACCTAGTGAGGGTCAATGGGTCAGAGGAATATCTAAATGCTAATTCTATTAATTTCAAGGAAAACTAGATGTTGAACTTTCAGAATATTAGTAAACTATATATATATATATATATATTATATATATATATATATATATATATATATTAGATCAAATAATAATTAATATTTATATAAAATATTTAGAAATTCAAAATATTTAATTTAATTTTAGATCTATCTATCTATCTATCTATCTATCTATCTATCTATCTATCTATCTATCTATCTATCTATCTCACCATAAATTA